CTTTTAAATGGCTGGAGACTCTTTGTTTTGAGGATTTGCCAGAGTGGGAGCATTGGGATCCTGTTGAAGAAAATGAGCATGTTAAAGTATTCCAACGGTTGCGTCAGTTATCCCTGGTGAAAGTCCGTGGAAAATTACCCGAACGTTTTCAGTTTTCCATGTTGTGTAAACTTACGATTCAGGAATGTGGACAGTTAGTAGTTTCTTGCCTTAACGTCCCATCGTGGTGCAAAGTTATGGTAGATGGATGTAAGATGCTTTGTCGTGTCAAAGTTTAACTCCTGGAAAACGAAGGTGACTTTGCCTTTTTCTGAACTCTTTTTTTGTTTTCAATAAATGTTCTTTCTTCTGGAACGGAATTTTTGTTTAAAGCATTTCAGAGTTGATTACTCGATGTTTTTAATCTGTATATTAAGAGGAAAAAAATTCAGAGCTTCTCTTCTCACTAATAGGTGAATAAATCACATGCTTTCGCAATTTACTCTTGTTTCATCATATCCAAGGTCTTGTTCCTTCATCTAATTACTTCGTCTATATATCAAGGTTTTCTAGCTCTGCATCTTGTTCATGTTCAGTTATTTATAATTTGTATGGTGTAGAGATTAATAGCAACAATTTATATCTTGTTTTAATGTATGATGTATAGTTTAATTACCTTACCATTGGTTTTTAATGCAGGATTATGGGAGTGATTAGTCGTATTAATACTATGTTTAATTGGAGGAAGGCAATATTTATTTTGCTGAACAATCTTAAAGAATGTTTCTTTTTTTATTCGGTGCACTATCGATTGGAACACCATCTGTTTATTTTGAATCCTTATAATAATGTAAAAGCCTGTTTTCCTTTTTGATTTCTATATACTTTTCATTCTGGGAATGAATGTTTTGTTTATATACCATATTTTGAAATATTTATGCAAAAACAGAGGACCTTGTGTCAGGATATGGCAATGAAAAAGGTGGATTCATGGCTTTCTGGGAACAAGAAAGCTTAATTTTCTGAAATCTTTGTAGCGACAGAATGACCAGTTGAGATTGATAAATTCTCACCGAATGCAAACCTGTAGGAAATGAGAAGAATGACCATCTTTGGTATTACCTATTGCTCATTTACTGCAACAATTATCGATTTCTTTTCCAGAATATGAAAGCCTCTTGAGTACTAAAATAGAGAAAATTAAGAGATGATAATGAGATTCTTCCTGTGCTAAAGTTAAGCTGCCAACATCTTTTCTTTATGGTTACAAAGATGTTTTGTTTATTGTGAAATTTTACCTGACAATTATGAATTTGAAGAAAATGAACTTGTTCTTCAATGGACTGCAGAAGGTCTTATTGGAACAGCACAAGTGGATTAGCATCCAAAGGGGGGTGAATTCTGAGATGTTTTGAGTTGCAAAGCCCAAAAGCAAATCCGTGGTGGATTTTGTGTGGGCCGGGCTGCTACATTAACTGCATTTCTACTTAATGAAGCACAGCCTAATAACAGAGCTGACGCAATTACGTTGCACCTAGGACTCATAAAAGTAATGAATAGTGACTGATTTTGAATATTGCTAATCAAGCTGAAGCCATTGCCTTCTGCTATAGTTCATTGATAGTAATCCAATCTCCACAGATTATATAAGATGGAGTCTTTCTTAATTTATTCCTTCAAAATTATTTTCTTCCAAGGTTACATCACTTACCAATTTAAAACAATCATACATATGACAGCTCTGTTAGCTATTTTCATTATTTAATATTTTATAAAAGAGCGAACAACATGCTCCTACCCGAAGCAATGAATGTTTTGTTTATACATCATATAATGAAATATATTATAAAAACAGAGGACTTGTGTCAGGATATTTACCCCACACTTATGGTGAGACCAAAACGCTGAAAGAAAAATTCAACGAAAATGGTGGATTCATGGCTCTCTAGGAACAAGAAAGCTTGTTCAAAGTATTGTCTTTTAAACTGCTTTGCTCACTTACGTTTCAGTAATCTGGATGGATTACTAGTTTCGTCTTTTAAGCTTGTTCAAACATTGTCCTTTAAACTACTTTGCTGACTTAAGCTACATCAAAAATTTCATGTTCATTGCCTCAAAACTAAATAAAATGTTGTTTCCAACATTACAAGTTACATTCGTGAACAAGATTAATCTTCTGAGATCTCTGTAGCGACAGAATTACCAGTTTAGATTGTTAATCTCACGTAATGCAAGCTTGTAGGAAATGAGGAGAATGTAAACATGGAGTTGACTGAATTCACATCGAAGAACGAAGATTAGGATTGCACTAATTCTTTATTTCTTCAATATGAAAGACTAAGAAATTATTAAAGGTATTGTTAGACTGAGACAGGCTTAATTAATTAAATAATCGGTTTTACAAAGGGTTATCTTTTTTTCCATAGTTACATTTCGATGTGTTCCATCTTGATATTTCCATAGTTAATTGGTTCCGTTTCTTAGGGTGAACAGTTCTTTACGAAGTCCACACTGTTAATGTATATTTATATATACATAAAAGGAGATAGCAACAAGAGACAAGAGTAGAGAGAAATTTCTAAGAAACAGGCAAGTCAAGTCTCCATGTAATAATCCACGCCAAGTTACCGATGGGTTGGCTTGACTTAGTACCGGATCCCCACACGGCCACCGCCACACCCCTCCATTAGCATCACTTTGGGTATCTTTTTGTTTTGTTTTGTTTTGTTTTGTTTTGTTTTTCTACGGATGGTTTCAATGAATCATGATTGACTATAAACAGTCTGTCCCAAAACTCACGTGAGTCTATATAGTGAATAAATATTTGTGTTTCCTAATGACTTGGCAGCGAGAATTCTTGTTGGCTCTTTGTGCACTTCGAATGGAGTGATGAATGACACAAGGTATATCGCATAGTAATATATAAGATTTAGCAGTTGATATTGAGATTCTTCCTTAACAATATAGTTTAACTAATACTCCCTCTGTTTCTTTATAATTGTTGTTTTAAGAGTATTAATTTTTTCCAAAATAAATGACGTTCTCTTTTCTCTTTCAATGTTTCTCTGACTCATATCTCCTTTCTCTACTCTACCTTTCATCTCCTCTCTGTACTTTTTTCTATGGCCCACATCTTCTCTCTCTCTTTCTCTATCTCTTCCCCTATCTCCTCTCTATTAAATTATTTCAATATTTAACACATGTGCAGCGAGAAAAACAAAATTTTCTCACTTGCAATATCATAAGAAAAAGTCAATTTGGAGAGAGATAAAATTGATTCATTAAAAAGTGTGCACAGGCTTAAAACGACAGTTATATAGAAACGAAGAGAGTATATTTTATTGTTGTTTTCTTTTTCACAGAGGCCAATGTTATGGGAGATCCAGAGTGCTTCAAACTTTTTGGGTGGGAAAACTTAATTACGCCAAACCTTGAGTGGGAAATTGTCATTCCCCCTATATTAGATTAGTCAATATCCTTTTTAAATTACTTACTCTAACTTTAATTCCCGAGTCCCTCCTTGTGAGTGACATGTTATTATTATTCATGAACACTTTTTCTTTTTGTAACCAAGGTGTTCAGACTAATTTAAACGCAATTCAACAAGATGCAACGTGAGACAAAGAGTAAAGAGAAATTTATAAGAAACAGGCGAGTCAAGTCTCCATGTAAAAAGCAGTAACAATCTCAAAAGTTATGTATCCTTTTGTTCAGTTTTTCTACGGCGTGGGCTCAACCTTAAATCACATCAATCAATCAACACATGATGGTTTCAATGAATCATGATGGACTATAAGTATAAACTCACTTGGGGTGGGTCTAACATAGTGAATAAATGTTTGCGTTTTCTAAATGTCTGCATCTTTTTTTTTTTTTTTTTGAATAAATGTTAAAGATGTGTGTTGTGTTTCCTTTTTCATTTCTATGCACTTTTTGGTGGAATAAATGTAAAAGACTTCGATTAGTCTTCTTGTTCATTATTTTCTATGAGCTTTAGCTTGCTTTTATTTCTAGTTTGAGAATCTTATTACTATACATTTGCAGCTATAATTTTTTTTTCTGCAAATTATGAATGGACATATATCAAATATTATAACAGGAAACATTTGGGGAAAAGCAAAGGACTCTGTGCAGGAAATTTCTTCAGCTGTTTCCACCTTTCTTATCAAACTCTCAATTATTTCTCTTATTCTTTCAATTATTCATGGTTATTTGTGTCTATGTTTGTTAAAATTTCTAAATTTTCTCCCATATTCGCTCAGTCTTTCCAGCTCCAGCTCTGAAATTCCGGGGGAATCTCTGCTTCACTTTACTTAATTGTGTTAAGGTAAGTAGATTGCAAGTATTTAATGTTTATATTTACTTTTATTATTACAAGTATTCAAATGTTTATTATCACCCTCTTTCATTACAAGTACTTTTTTTTAGAAATATTCTTAAATCATAAAAATTCTAAGACATACACTTTAATGAATATGTCCTACTTTTTGAAGTGGTTGGAAAAAAAAAAAAATATTTTCTTAAGGCAAATGAAACTCTCTAGTTATGATCCTGTATTTTTTTTATTCAGTATATATCTTAGAAATATTTTGTGTATGTTAATTTTAAACTAATCAAACTTGATTTCATTTAAACTCTTACTATATATCTACCTCAACACTCTTGGTGTCTTTGTTTTTCTTCTTTTCATTTGTTAATCATGATCAATTTTTGCTTTTCTCTTCATGATTTATTAAAATGTTTAAGGAATCTCGTATCAATTTTTGCTAAATAATCGGTTTTACAAGGTTTGATGTGTTAATTTATGTTATCTCCATCTTTATATTTCTTGTTAATTCCTTGACTTGTTGATTCTTTGTTTTCAATGTATGTTTATCAGTATCTCCATATTTCTTATTAATTCCTATTATCCGTTGATTAATTTACATATAGATATGAATATATATTTACCGTGAGGATAATCAATCTCTCGGTCTGTCTCATATTCCTCCTCTTTTGTATGACAATTCTAAGAGAAATTCATGGATCCAAACTTGCCTGGTGCGTTTCTCTATAGGTTACTAAACAGACTGGAAGACTCGTCCCCAGAGTTTAAGCACCTAGCGGCAGTTTCAAGGCAAAAGGGCCTATTTTCAAAGCTAAACCTGTGGAGTACAACATTACAAATTTTTATGGATGTTATCAACAAAGAGGCGAACAAGAGACCACTATCGGACGTGGAAGTGAAAATGTGGCTGGAGTTGGCTGATGATGTGGAGGAGATACTGGATGAGATTTCAAAACAAGCTTCACGCCTCAAAATGATCGATCAAAGTCAGACTACCATGGGCAAGAAAAGTTCATTAAAGGGCCTCATTCCTGCTTGTTTCACAAGTTCGAATTCATGTGCTGTTGCGTCTATTGGAGATCCCATATCGACTAGGCACACTCAAGCCAATGGGTTTATAAGAGTGGGCAATCCTCCCACTCAATAAGGCCTTTTGGGTGAGGAGTTAGGCCCAACTCCAACAAGTGGTATCAGAGCCAGCCCCATTTGAGCTGAGTGATTGACCAGCAGTGGGCTACCAAACTACCTCCATTCATAGGTAAGTAGACCATATGGGCTTGACTGTGAGGGAGAGTGTTGGAGATATCATATCGACTAGGCGACCTTATTGGAGTTGGGCCTGACTCCTCACCCAAAAGGCTTTATTGAGTGGGAGGATTGTCCACTCTTATAAACCCATTGGCTTGAGTGTGCCTAGTCGATATGGGATCTCCAACACTCCCCCTCACGGTCAAACCCATATGGTCCACTTGCCTATGAATAGAGGTAGTTTGGCAGCCCACCGTTGGTCAATCACTCAGCTCAAATGGGGCTGACTCTGATACCACTTGTTGGAGTTGGGCCTAACTCCTCACCCAAAAGGCCTTATTGAGTGGGAGGATTGCCCACTATTATAAACCCATTGGCTTGAGTGTGCCTAGTCAATATGGGATCTCCAATAGCGTCGTTTGATGATAGTCTGATTTTCAGAATAATTGATATAACTAGCCGATTGGAAAAACTCAATACCAAAAGATATGCAGTTCGACTAAGAGTGATTTATAGTGCTTTAGCTTGCTCTTTCTATCCCATAACTGTAACTATGTATGAGGTTTTGCTAGCCAAAACCATTTACGGGCGAGACGAAGATAAAGAGAAAATACTAGAAATGGTGTTAAGGGATGAAGTGAGTGATCATGCCAACTTTAGTGTAATACCCATCATTGGCATAGCAGGAGTTGGAAAAACAACACTCACTCGACTTGTGTATGATGATAAGGTAGTGGAAGACTTCAAACCAAGAGCCTGGGTTTCCCTCTACGAAGATTCCAATGTTTTCAAAATCTCCAAGGCCATTCTAGAGTCAATCACTTTTAAATCCTGCAATCTAAAGGATTTAGATGAAGTGCTGGCTCAACTGGAAGAAGCAATTTTTGGGAGGAAATTCTTGTTTGTCTTAGATGATGTTTCGACAGAGAATTATGGTTTCTGGGAAACTCTAAAGTCTTCGTTGATGGCTGGGGCACCGGGAAGCAAGATAATAGTGACAACCCACAGAGTCAATTTTGAATTCCCTGTAAATCTCAGTATTCAACCTTTTATATTAGAGGTATTATCAGATGAAGCTTGCTGGTCCATGCTCAAGATGTATGTATCTGGTAATGAGAATTATTCTGGTTCGAGATTAATCCGTGAAAAAGTTATTGATATGTGTAGAGGCTTACCCTTGGCAGCGAGTATTCTTCGTGGGCTTATAAGGTCTATGCAGGGTGATGAAAGGGTATATATATTGAACACTAAAATATGGGAGTTAGCAGATGATATTGAGATTCTTCCCGTGCTAAAGTTAAGCTACCACTCTCTTTCTTTATGTTTACAAAAATGCTTTATGTATTGTGCAATTTTACCTGACGACTATGAATTTGAAGAAAAGGAGCTTGTTCTTCTATGGATAGCAGAANCCATTTGTTTTGTTATTTCGGATAGGATTTCTGAAATAGTATTAGGGATTTGGATTGGGTTATTATTACGATAATATGATTTAAATAATAGAGTATTTGGATATTTTGACCTTGTTATTTGTGCTAAATAAATTGTTGAATACTTATTTGATGTATTTTTTATAAATGATTTATTAATATAATATTTTAGTGCATTTTGTTAAAATAATTTATTATTATAACCTAAAAACTTGTCAATTTACATTTTAATAATATTAAACATTTGATTGGTAATTTCATAACCACTAAATATTTTTTTTTTTTAAAAAAAACTCATATTAATTTTAAGTATTAATCCAACTATTTAAAAACACCACATTAATACATATATGATAAAGCTACTAATTATCAACCTTCAGAATCATTTGTACACATATACTTCATTAACAACTACGACCTGGTCATATGTGCTGTCTACAATTCAGTTGTTATGTTATCCCGTACAGTCGTCATATTGTCTATATGTGAAAGAAGCAGGGAGCTATACGCTAGAATAATTCAGATCGGCTTGACTGAGCTTCGCTAGAGGTTGAATGCAGGTGGAAGAGAAGTTGCGGCGGTGGTTGGTGTTTGGAAGAAGAGGGACTGAAGAAATAAAGAAGAAGGCGAAAGAAATAAAAAAGAAAGAAGGGCAGATGGCAAGTGGAAGAGAGACTTGTCACGGTGGTTAAGGGAAATGAAGAAAGAAGTGAAAAAAAAAAAAAAAATTGCAGATATAAACCCCACCAACATGACGGTCAAATATGCCAAGAGTAGTATTTATTGAATTTTTACGTTGCTTTCACAACTTACAATTCAGGAATGTGGGGTATTAGAGGTTTCGTTCCCAAGCCTCTCACCGTATTGCGACGCAGAGGTAGACGGATGTAAGATGCATTGCGGAGAAGAATTTGACTTCACAGGCTGCTTTAAACGAATGCGGTAAGGTTTTCATTTTCTGGAACTACTTATGTTTTTAATTTTCATCTCAATATACTCTCTTTCTTACTAAATAACATTTTATCCCTCAGCTATTTGAATAACTGCCTCAAAGCAGAGGCACATAATGCACTATGCTGTCCTATACCTATGGATAGCCCTTTGACGATTATCTACTGTCTTCCTTTTTTTCTTTTTTTCTTTTTTTCTTTTTTTGAATAAATGTAAAAGACTCTGTTTTCCTTTTTCATTTCCATCTATGCATTCACTTTTACTGGATAGCCCTTTGACGATTATATGTTTGCTTGTTTTTGTTACTGGATTAAGAATGTAGATTGGTTTTTTAATTTTATGATGATATTATATTAGTCTTTCTTAGGGTTGTTTTAATTTTAATTTATCAGATTCTAATATGTTCTCTCCCCTGGAAATACTGATAAGTTGAATGAATATAATAACTTGTTGTATCAGAAATTTGACAGCCGAATATAATAAAAAGGGGAGGGCACTTCTAACTTGTATTCCTATCATTTTATTCATCCTCCGTTAAAGAGGTTTAGTGCATATGATCGAACAAAATCAAATCATACACCTAATTAATTTTACTAGTATCTATTGCAAGCATACCATGAAGCTTAGTTGTGAGGATCTTATTACGGAATCCAATATCAGATTAAAACATTCTTATGATTTGGTATTATCCTCTTATGATTTGGTATTATTCATATTTAATAGAGTATAAAAACATTCTTAGATTTGGTATTATTCATATTTAATTTGCTTGTCCTTTCCTTGTTGTTTAAGGCTTCTTGTGCTTATTATCCATCTTTCTAAACCATCCACGGTTAAAAGAAAGAATTCCTTTATTATTCTCCACTGCACCAATCACTTTTTCTTTCCTTTTTCAAATGTCAACAGGGTATTTTTTTCCATGGATATCTCCACCTCTCTTATCAAACTCTCAATAATTTCTCTTATTCTCTCTCTCATCACGCTCTTACCATCTCTCTCTCAAATTCTACTCTTGTTTTCTCAGTGTTAAGGTAAGCATAATTAGGAAAATTAGGGTGCGTTTGGCATATTATTTCTATCCATATTCTTATTCTATTCCCAAAATACTTGTTTGCACATTATTTGAGAAATATCGTAATTTTTTTTATTATTTTTAGACCACTTATGTTTATTAATTTCATTAATTGCCCATAGAAAAAAAGTTTAAAAGTTAATAAAAACACCTCCACCCACCCATGCTCGCAGATTCCGGCAACCACCGTCGGTGATAGTCGGATCTGTCACAACGGCCTACACCATGACTGGAACTGGTTGGTAATTCACCGTCTGGCCTTCAGAGACGGCCAAATCTTGCCTATCGTTGACCGACAACTGACGGCCAGATCTAGACTTTTGCGGCCATCGACGGCCAGATCTGGTCATAGATCTACCTTTTTCGGCCATCTGTGGTGGATCTGGTTGGAAAAGGCCATATTGATCCCTACCCTCAAATTCGACCGGTCTATGTCGTAATGCCATTGCTAGCTAGATCCCGACAGCGATGGCCGGAATCTGGCACTGCCGGTAGTGGGGGTGTTTTTGTCATTTTTAAAATTTTATATATTGGGGTGTTTATTAAATTACAAACCTAGGGGGTTTTTTAAAATTTTTAAATTTTACCTCGTATACTCCCATATTCAACTACCCAATATTATTCCCAAAATCCTATTCAAATTTTTAAATCTGTTTTTGAATTTTTATTTTCATATTACATTTTGATCTATCTTCTTACCATTTTGTTCATTTATCGTTAATTTTGCAGAACCTATAGGCACAATCAATATATTGTTTTAACTTTTAAACTGGGCTTAAAGCATCTTTAAAGGATTCTCTATATCACCTAAACTCTTTATTATAATAAGTTTATCCATAGAAACAAGAGTCCATATACTTTTTTTTCTTTAAATATAAATTAAAAAGTAAGTTTGACTCCCCACTTTAGAGTATCTCCAATGGTGCTTTTTGTTTTGAAGAGCATCTTTCATATAAATAAAGAGCATCTTCATTTTTTAAAATAAAAGAACACAATTTGTATTCAAATCCAATATACTCTTTAAATTTAATGGAATGCTCTTTTAAAAGAGACTTAATGGAAGAGAGAATAATAAATAAAATGCATGAACTTGTAATTATAATTAAAATAAGGATAGAGAGTGAAATTTGACTCTCTAAATGTGGAGAGCCAAACTCACTCTTTAATTTATATTTTAAAGATAAAGAGTCGGTTGGACTCTTGTTTTTATGGATAAAATCTTATAATAAAGATTTGAGTTATATAAAGAGTCATTTGGAGATGCTCTATGGTGCTCTTTATTTTGAAAAGCTATTTCATATAAATAAAGCATCTTCATTAATTTTAAAATATAAAGAACACAATTTTTATTCAATCCAATAGACCTCTTAAATTTAATGAAGATACTCTTTATTTTTAAAAAGAGATTTGATGGGAGAGAGAATTAATAAAACTTGTAGTTTATTAATTAAAATTAAGATAAGAGTAAATTTGACTCTCTAAATGTGGAGAGTCAAACTCACTCTCTAATTTATATTTTAAAGATAAAGAGATGTTGGACTCTTGTTTTTATAGATAAACTCTTTTAATAAAGAGTTTGGGTTATATAAAAAATCCTTTGAAGATGCTCTTAGAGAGTCAAATTTCACTATCTATCTTAATTTTAAATAATAAATTGCATGTTTTTATACATTTTATTTATAATTTATCTCTCCTATTAAGTTTCTTTCTTGAAAAAACATATTCTCTCTCGTAAATTTAAAGAGTCTCTAGATTTGAATACAAATTCGAGTATTCTTCGTGGGCTTATAAGGTCTATGCAGGGTGATGAAAGGGTATATATATTGAACACTAAAATATGGGAGTTAGCAGATGATATTGAGATTCTTCCCGTGCTAAAGTTAAGCTACCACTCTCTTTCTTTATGTTTACAAAAATGCTTTATGTATTGTGCAATTTTACCTGACGACTATGAATTTGAAGAAAAGGAGCTTGTTCTTCTATGGATAGCAGAAGGTCTGATTGGAGAAGCGCAGGGCCGTCTCAAGAACATCTGTGACCCTAGGCAAGAATTACTTTGGGGCCTTCTAATAATATAAGCATATATTAAAAAAAAATTATTTCAAATTTATTTTCTTGTCTTTGGAGAAGATGAAAAATCACTAGGAGAGATGGACGGCGATCGGCAGGCTAACTGGGTCAGGTTGGTGGGGGGGTTTTGGAGAGTAGATGTTGGAGAAGCAATGGGTGTGAAATAAGTAATTGCCAATGCCTAGATTGGCCAAAAAAGGCTTGAGAAGTTGTAGCCGAAAAGGTATTGGTGGTCGGTGATTTGACGGAGTAAACGGATGAGGTATGATAGGGATTTTGGTGAGAGGATTGAGGGGAGGAAGATGGTGGTGTCGGGGAAGGCCAACAACGCCGAATACATGCTGAAAAGGCTGGAAATGGCTGTCGTGCGTGGTGGAGTTAGGTTATGAGATTCGTAAAAAAATCGGCCAAATTGAGGGCTATCAAGGCTAGAAAAACACTTGCGAAAATGATAAAGTGATGATTTCAGTCAATTTTGGTGAAAAAATTGATGGGAATCAGCTCCAAACGGCTAGCGGCAAAAGAGGGGTGGAGATGATTTATGTGAATGTCGAAATTTGGGATGGAATTGGGGTTGAGTCATTTGAGACATGTAAATGACTATTTTAGTTTTTTATTGTTAAAAGAAATTCAATGTGTTAATTTAGGGGTGTAAATTGGAATATATGAAGCTAGAGGTACAAACTCTATTTCGTCAAACTTTGGATGAGAATATATGTAAAAAGTTTATAATAAATTTGGGTCTTTTTGACTTTTTTTTTTTTTCCCTTAGGCTTGGATAAAAAAATCATACACTATTTTTATTTTTGTAATATATTAAAAAAATTATAAAAAATTTGGGCCCCTATTTTTGGGGGGCCCTAGGCAGGTGCCTTACCTACCTACCCCTTGAGCCGGGCTTGGAGAAGCGCGAGGAGATGAACGAATTGAAGATATAGGTGGTAAGTTATTCCAAGTACTATTGAAAAGATGTCTTTTCCAACATTCAAGTAGTCACGCTTCTAAATATAGAATGCATGACCTTGTCAAAATTATGGTCCGATGGATTTATGGAGAAACGGAATATTCCAGGTCCGATGATGTGTTGGGGGTCAATGAGCAACGGGAAGAATTCAAGAAGACTTCTCATTTTGATACTTTCGCTCGGTCTGATGAGAAAAATATCTTTACGTTATTCTATTATGTTGACAACTTGCGAACATTTGTTCCTGGACTCATAAGTAATAATGATGACCATCACATTACTGATGGGCTTCTTTCTGATTTGCTACCAAAGTTCAAAAGACTGAGGGCGTTATCTTTGGCAAAGCACAATATTACGAAGCTACCCAGTTCAGTTGAAGGTTTGAGATATCTAAGATATGTCAACCTCTCCAGCACTGTGATCAGAATGTTACCTGATTCAATATGTTTGCTACCCATCTTGCAAATTTTGCTATTAAGGGATTGCTCTCATCTCGTAGAGTTGCCTTCCAATTTGAGGAAATTGATCAATTTATGGATCTTGATATTTCCGGTGTCAATTTACTCAGAGAAATGCCATTGGGAATGAAAGAGTTGACATGTCTTAGAACGTTACTGAATTTTATTGTGGACAAAGGTGTAGGATCTGATTTAAAAGATTTGGAGGACTTAAAATTTCTTGGTGAGCTTTACGTTTCAAGATTACAGAATGTAACTGGTTCACAAGATACAAAGGACTCTGTATTAAAAGATAAGAAGGATCTAAAAGTATTGGTACTAGAGTGGGACTCTCAGTTGGATGACACAAGAGATGAGTTAGTGGAAGAAAATGTACTGGGTTCACTCCAACCTCACCAAAATCTGAAAGAACTCACAATCAAAGGCTACGTCGGCACAAGATTTTCATCTTGGCTTGGAGATTCAACATATTCAAACATAGTTGTGTTAACATTGGAAAGATGCAAAGTCTTGCCTTCACTTGGATGCTTGGGCTTGCTGAACACCTCGCTATTAAGGGAATGACAAGAATAAAAAGGATAGGTTCTGAGCTTTTCGGAAAAGATTGTTCAAGTCCTTTTAAATCATTGAAGACTCTTTGCTTTGAAGATTTGAAAGAGTGGGAGAATTGGGATCCTGTTGAAGAAAATGAGCATGTTGAAATATTCCCTTGCTTGCGTGAGCTATCCCTTGTGAAATTGCCCCAAACTCCGTCGAAAACTACCTGAAATTCACTTTTTACTTTGTTTTAAACTTACAATTCAGGAATGTGGGGTATTAGAGGTTTCGTTCCCAAGCCTCTCACCGTATTGCGACGCAGAGGTAGACGGATGTAAGATGCATTGCGGAGAAGAATTTGACTTCACAGGCTGCTTTAAACGAATGCGGTAAGGTTGTCATTTTCTGGAACTACTTATGTTTTTAATTTTCATCTCAATATACTCTCTTTCTTACTAAATAACATTTTATCTCCTCAGCTATTTGAAATAACTTGCCTCAAAGCAGAGGCACATGAATGCACTATGCTGTCCTATACCTATGGATAGCCCTTTGACGATTATCTACTGTCTTCCTTTTTTTCTTTTTTTCTTTTTTTCTTTTTTTTGAATAAATGTAAAAGACTCTGTTTTCCTTTTTCATTTCCATCTATGCATTCACTTTTACTGGATAGCCCTTTGACGATTATATGTTTGCTTGTTTTTGTTACTGGATTAAGAATGTAGATTGGTTTTTTAATTTTTATGATGATATTATATTAGTCTTTCTTAAGGGTTGTTTTAATTTTAATTTATCAGATTCTAATATGTTCTCTCCCCTGGAAATACTGATTAAGTTGAATGAATATAATAACTTGTTGTATCAGAAATTTGACAGCCGAATATAATAAAAATGGGAGGGCACTTCTAACTTGTATTCCTATCAAGTTTATTCATCCATCCGTTAGAAGGAGGTTTAGTGCATATTGATCGAACAAAAATCAAATCATACACCTAATTAATTTTACTAGTATCTATTGCAAGCATACCATGAAGCTTAGTTGTGAGGATCTTATTACGGAATCCAATATCAGATTAAAAACATTCTTATGATTTGGTATTATCCATCTTATGATTTGGTATTATTCATATTTAATAGAGTATTAAAAACATTCTTATGATTTGGTATTATTCATATTTAATTTGCTTGTCCTTTCCTTGTTGTTTAAGGCTTCTTGTGCTTTATTATCCATCTTTTCTAAACCATCCACGGTTAAAAGAAAGAATTCCTTTATTATTCTCCACTGCACCAATCACTTTTTCTTTTCCTTTTTCAAAAGTGTCAACAGGGTATTTTTTTTCCATGGATATCTCCACCTCTCTTATCAAACTCTCAATAATTTCTCTTATTCTCTCTCTCATCACGCTCTTACCATCTCTCTCTCAAATTCTACTCTTGTTTTCTCAGTGTTAAGGTAAGCATAATATAGGAAAATTTAGGGTGCGTTTGGCATATTATTTCTATCCATATTCTTAATTCTATTCCCAAAATACTTGTTTGGCACATTATTTGAGAAATATCAGTATATTTTTTTTATTATTTTTAGACCACTTATGTTTATTAATTTCATTAATTGCCCATAGAAAAAAAGTTTAAAAAGTTAATAAAAACACCTCCACCCACCCATGCTCGCCAGATTCCGGCAACCACCGTCGGTGATAGTCGGAATCTGTCACAACGGCCTACACCATGACTGGAACTGGTTGGTAATTCACCGATCTGGCCTTCAGAGACGGCCAAATCTTGCCTATCGTTGACCGACAACTGACGGCCAGATCTAGACTTTTGCGGCCATCGACGGCCAGATCTGGTCATAGATCTGACCTTTTTCGGCCAGATCTGTGGTGGATCTGGTTGGAAAAGGCCATATTGATGCCCTACCCGTCAAATTCGACCGGTCTATGTCGTAATGCCATTTGCTAGCTAGATCCCGACAGCGATGGCCGGAATCTGGCACTGCCGGTAGTGGGGGTGTTTTTGTCATTTTATAAAATTTTTATATATTGGGGTGTTTAGTTAAATTAGCAAACCTAGGGGGTTTTTTAAAATTTTTAAAATTTTACCTCGTAATACTCCCATATTCAACTACCCAATATTATTCCCAAAATCCTATTCAAATTTTTAAATCTGTTTTTTGAATTTTTATTTTCATATTTACATTTTGATCTATCTTCTTACCATTTTGTTCATTTATCGTTAATTATTGCAGAACCTATAGGCACAATCAATATATTTGTTTTAACTTTTTAAACTGGGCTTAAAGCATCTTTAAAGGATTCTCTATATCACCTAAACTCTTTATTATAATAAGTTTATCCATAGAAACAAGAGTCCAATATACTTTTTATTCTTTAAATATAAATTAAAAAGTAAGTTTGACTCCCCACATTTAGAGTATCTCCAATGGTGCTTTTTGTTTTGAAGAGCATCTTTCATATAAATAAAGAGCATCTTCATTAATTTTAAAATATAAAGAACACAATTTGTATTCAAATCCAATATACTCTTTAAATTTAATGGAGATGCTCTTTTTTTTAAGAAAGAGACTTAATGGAAGAGAGAATTAATAAATAAAATGCATAGGAACTTGTAATTTATTAATTAAAATAAGGATAGAGAGTGAAATTTGACTCTCTAAATGTGGAGAGCCAAACTCACTCTTTAATTTATATTTTAAAGATAAAGAGTCGGTTGGACTCTTGTTTTTATGGATAAAATCTTTATAATAAAGAGTTTGAGTTATATAAAGAGTCATTTGGAGATGCTCTATGGTGCTCTTTATTTTGAAAAGCATATTTCATATAAATAAAGAGCATCTTCATTAATTTTAAAATATAAAGAACACAATTTTTATTCAAATCCAATAGACTCTTTAAATTTAATGAAGATACTCTTTATTTTTAAAAAAGAGATTTGATGGGAGAGAGAATTAATAAAACTTGTAGTTTATTAATTAAAATTAGGATAGAGAGTGAAATTTGACTCTCTAAATATGGAGAGCCAAACTCACTCTCTAATTTATATTTTAAAGATAAAGAGTATGTTGGACTCTTGTTTTTATAGATAAACTCTTTATAATAAAGAGTTTGGGTTATATAAAAAATCCTTTGAAGATGCTCTTAGAGAGTCAAATTTCACTATCTATCTTAATTTTAAATAATAAATTGCATGTTTCTATACATTTTATTTATAATTTATCTCTCCTATTAAGTTTCTTTCTTGAAAAAACATATTCTCTCTCGTAAAATTTAAAGAGTCTCTTAGATTTGAATAAAAATTTTGTTCTTTATATTTAAAAATAAATAAACGGTCCATTTGTTTTGTTATTTCGGATAGGATTTCTGAAATAGTATTAGGGATTTGGATTGGGTTATTATTACGATAATATGATTTGAATAATAGAGTATTTGGATATTTTGACCTTGTTATTTGTGCTAAATAAATTGTTGAATACTTATTTGATGTATTTTTTATAAATGATTTATTAATATAATATTTTAGTGCATTTTGTTAAAATAATTTATTATTATAACCTAAAAACTTGTCAATTTACATTTTAATAATATTAAACATTTGATTGGTAATTTCATAACCACTAAATATTTAAAAAAAAAAAAAACTCATATTAATTTCAAGTACTAATCCAACTATTTAAAAACACCACATTAATACATATATGATAAAGCTACTAATTATCAACCTTTAGAATCATTTGTACACATATACTTCATTAACAACTACGACCTGGTCATATATGCTGTCTACAATTCAGTTGTTATGTTATCACGTACAGTCGTCATGTTGTCTATATGTGAAAGAAGCAAGGAGCTATACGCCAGAATAATTCATATCGGCTTGACTGAGTTTCGCTAGAGGTTGAATGCAAGTAGAAGAGAAGTTGCGGCGGTGGTTGGTGTTTGGAAGAAGAGAGACTGAAGAAATAAAGAAGAAGGCTAAAGAAATAAAAAAGAAAGAAGGGCAGATGGCAAGTGGAAGAGAGACTTGTCACGGTGGTTAAGGGAAATGAAGAAAGAAGTGAAAAAAAAAAAAAAAATTGCAGATATAAACCCCACCAACATGACGGTCAAATATGCCAAGAGTAGTATTTATTGAATACAACGTTTTAAGTAATAAAACAAACACATATTTCAAAAATTGTATCTCAAATACTAATAGAAATAGTAACCCAAACACACTTAAAGATGCTCTTTATTTATGAAATATGCTTTTAAAATAAAGAGAACCATTAGATATGCTTATGTTTATAATCAAATTTGTTATGATTAGGTAATATTTAACTAAAGTATTAAAAAAATAAAAAATAAAAAGATATGAAAAAATGTTAAATAAATGGGGTATCCTACATTCTCTTCAAAACTCTAGTCCAACACTCCTTTCTCGAAACTCTTGATTGCTCGGAGGAAGTAATCACGTTTCTCCTACAACTCTCTCAATCTCTCTGGCTACTCTCAATTACTTCTCATATTCTTCGGGGCTCTTACCGACTACCTCAATTTCCAATACTCTTCTTTTCTCAGTGTCAAGTAAGCAGAATACTGCAAGTTGAATTAGCTTTTTTTTTTTTTTTTTAATAATTTGATCATCATCAACATATTATTTTCATATTTACATTTGGAGTAATACTAGCCTTACAAAGAGGCATACAAAGAACTATACAAATAGTCAAATCCAGCTTTTGAAATTCATGATTGCCTCTTTCTCTCTCTCTTTTTCCCTTCTTTCAAGGGCTGGATTTGATTCTTTGTATGACTCTTTGTATGCCTCTTTGTAAGGCTAGTATTACTCTTACATTTGATGAATTTTTATCAGCATCTTAATGCTGTTTTATAATTTTAATACGGTTCTATTATATAGATCTTGTGGGGGGATGATTTTCGCAAAATTAGATGGGTTTATATTATAATTAAATTAAACAGATTGTATTATTCATGAATAATTAGTTGAAATTAATAGTTGTTCTCAGAAGGCAAATGAACTCTTTAATTATGATGTATATATATTGGACATCATTCTCTTTGCGGTAATTTAGCTTATTTATTTATTTTCTTTGGATAGACTAGACCATAGTTTCAAAAATGTGACATGGCACGACATGGCCCACCGCCTCCTCTACCCCAAGCTCCATGGAAAATTAACTGAAGTTCACTTTTTTTTCCTTTTAAACTTAGAATTCAGGAATGTGGGGTATTAGAGGTTTTGTTCAGAAGACGTCCATTGTTTTGCGAAGCAAAACTAGATGGACGCAAGGTGTTGTACGATACTTAAGTCTCTTACAGATATTTTAGATTTCCATAAATTATTAAGGCAAGGTTTTCATTTTTTGAAACTCTTGTATCATACTTGATCTTAACATAAAATGACTGTTTACTGAATATTTTATACATACCTGTCTGATTTCTTCATTTCCCCAGAAGAGAATGTGTTATCAGGATCCAGTCATTACATTGTGATCTCTTCAACCATGTGTTGCTTCTAATTTTCTAACTTCTCCTCGTTGTTAAAATTAATAGCAACGATTCATATTTTATATTTTAATCCAGAATCTGTAATTTAAGTACTTATTATTGTTTGTTTATGCAGAGCTAGGTTATGAACTTCAACTGGAGTAAGGTTAGGCAACTAGTGATGGCTAATGTCTGTCTGCTTTTCTATTTGATGATTATATATCTGCTTGTTTCTGTTTATGGATAAGAAATTTTGATGATATTATTTTAGTCTTTTCTAACATTAATTTATCTGATGGTATGTTAATAAGGCAATTCTGTGATTACTGGTAACTTCACCTTTTTTTTGTTATGGTGGATTGTTGTCACTTAAATCTTTTGCGTTACAGGACTTTTTACCATTTCCGTTAAGGGCATACACTTAGAGGTTTATTGTTTCTTTTAATTTACACTTACCATTAACTAACGTCTCTCTAATGTTACCGTTTACTAATGTCTCAAGCTATCATCATTTACTAGTGTCTATCTAACGTTACCGTGAATTAACATCTATATATTAATGTTAGCTAATGTCTCATACCATTATCGTTGTTGATGCAAGATTTTACACCAATTAGAGTGATCCGATTGACCTTGGTGGAATCGAAACGGATGTGTGCGTGATTTAGGATAAACCAGCAATCGAATAATTTAAGAGCAAAAATGAGTGATGACAAGTGGCAATTTTTAATGTGGTTCGGCAATTTAGAACTTGAGCCTACGTCCACTGTTTCTCTTATTTATTGAGAATTACATATGATGAATCTTTCTCTAGAACCATTCCCAGCCCCATGAAAACAAGTTGTGATGGGTTTATATAGTACCCATTTACATGATAGAGTTGATGTAAGATTCAAATATGTAGGATTAGGAAGTTGCATGATTTTCGACTACTTTAGTTGGAATCTAAGTCAATATGAATATCGTCTTTCCAAATTGAGCCAATCTAAATATCTTCTCTCTTAATAAGGAATTATCCTCTCCGGATTTCTCGCACAACAAACGTTAACTAAAGTTCTTAAGCCTCTATCGTTGACTAATGTCATTATATCGTTTACCAATGTCTCTATGCCGTTAAAAAATGATAATGAACAATATTTTTCATCATTATATCGTTAAATAACCTTTTTACCAGAAAAGGCTGGAAAAGATTAGCCAATGTTTTTCATCTTTTTCGACGAAACGGCTTCATCGAGGGACTCCTCATCTATACTGTTGGATAGATTGTTGGTCGATCTATCTAACGACATCGGCAGTTGTCCAACATACATGCCAGCCAGTTTCTATACACTATTGGATGGATCATCGATCAATCTATCTAAACGGTATTGGCGGTGTGGCCAGAGTCACCGTCGATGATTGACCTAGTTCCTACCAACGGTGGTTTGCTGACATACATGCCAGGCGCCAGCTAGTTTTTATTCTTCACTTAAAAAGTTAAATTAAAAAAAAATTGAAATTGAAGATAGGGGTTTAAATGGTTAATTCCCAAGTTTACAAGGTAATTGTCATTAGATTGTAAGTTAGGGGTGTAAATAATATTAACCCTATAATATATATTGTGCAAAGTGAGGAGAATGCTCTTTTACCCTTAAAACTAATGTCAGAATTTTAACAGTGGGTGGGAAACTGTTTTTTTTTTTTTTTTTTTTTTTTTTTTTTTTTTTTGTTTTTCAAACGTTTTGGGTGGGCAATTACTTACGCCAAACCTTGTGTGGGAAATTGTCATTCTCCTTTTTAAAAGAAAGTGACTCTTTTAGACTGTCTGGTCGTCAAATGTCAAGAGCGCGTAGAAGCATCTCCACCGAAATTTCCTTGCACCTCATCCCACTGAAATTTCTGTATTACCGATCTCTTCATTTACTGCTTTTGATTTTCCGGCATTCTGATCCAACATTCCACACGCTTCTCTCTCAAAACTCTTGATTACTCGGAGGAAGTAATCACGTTTCTCCTACGACTCTCTCAATTACTTCTCTTATTCTTTGGCGCTCTTACGAACTCCCTCAATTTCCACTACTCTTCTTTTCTGAGTGTTAAGGTAAGCAGAATACTGCAAGTTTACTTACTTTTTTTCTTTTAATTTGATTGTTGATGCATTATTTTCATATTTACATTTTGATGAATGTTTATCACCATCTTAATACCGTTTTATAATTTTAATTATTAATTTAAAATTCAATAGGAATCTGTTATATATATATATATATATATCTTGTGGGAGGATGATTTTTGCAGAATTACATGGGTTTTTAAATTAAACAGATTATATTATTCATGAATATTTAGTTGAAATTAATAGTTGTTCTCAGAAGGCAAATGGAACACTTCAATTATCATGTATATATATTGAACATCATTCTCTTTAAGGTAATTTAGCTTTTTCATTTCTTTTCTTTGGATAGACTAGACCAAAGCCATGGAAGAGGCCTTTCTCGCTGCGGCCCTTCCGGTGCTGTTTGAAAAATTGGTACGCGGTGGGCTGCGGTTTGCACTTCAAGATGGTGTACGATCGAAGATAGGAAAGTGGGAGCAAAAGTTGAAGATGATTGGGGCAGTGCTCATTGATGCAGAGGAGAAGCAACTGACGGAGAAAGCTGTGAAAATGTGGCTGGAAAATTTACAAGACTTGGCTTATGATGTTGAGGACATTCTGGATGAATTTGCAACTGAAGCTTTTCGGCGCAGATTAATGGCAGATAGTCTTCCTAGCTCTATCCCAGCTTGTTTCACTGCTTTGAGCCCAACTGCTATTAAGCTCAAATTGAGTATGTGGTCCAAGATAAAAGATATCAACATTAGGTTGGAAGAACTCAGTGAAACAAAAGACCAGCTTGGTTGATCAAAGCAAATTCTGCAGGCCCATCAACTGCTGCAGTCTCAAGACCAAGTGATACAACTTCTCTAACCAAATCTTCTTTTTTTGGTAGAGATGATGATAAAGCCAAAATACTTGAAATGGTGTTAATGGATAAACCAATTGATGACAAGTGTCATGTGATAGCCATTGTTGGCATGGGAGGAATTGGCAAAACAACACTTGCTCAGGAGGTGTACAATCACAAAGCGGTTGAAGATTTCAATGTAAAAGCATGGGTTCATGTTTCTGACGACTTTGATGTTTTGAGAATCTCAAAAGCAATTTTTGAGTCAATTACTCGCTCCTCCTGCAATCTGACCAATTTAGATCCTGTCCAGGCTGAATTGAGAGAGTTTGTACGAGGCAGAAAATTCTTACTTGTCTTAGATGACGTTTGGAGTACGGATTATGACAAGTGGGAGTCCTTGAAATCTCCTTTTATGGCTGGAGCCCAGAAGGGTAGGATAATTGTGACAACACGCAACCTTGAAGTTGCATCAAGGATCCCCGGATCCACCAAAAGTCATGAATTAGCACTCCTAGCAGATCAGGATTGTTGGTCCGTGTTCACTGAGCATGCATTCAGGCATAGAGTTACTGGTGCAGATTCAAATTTGATCTCAGCTCGTGAGAAAGTTATTGCAAAGTGTGGAGGCTTGCCCCTAGCTGCAAAAGCTCTTGGTGGCTTGCTCTCTCGTCAAACGGTGAACGAGTGGGAGGGGATACTGAACAAAAAAATCGGGAATGAGTCATATGATAATGATGAAATTCTACCGGTATTAAGATTAAGCTATTACCACCTTCCTTGGCATTTAAAAAGATGCTTTGCTTATTGTGCTATTTTTCCAAAGAACTTTGAGTTTGTGGAGAAACAACTTGTCTTTTTATGGATGGCAGAAGGTCTTATTCAGCCAACAGAAAACAATAAACAACTGGAAGAAATTGGTGGTGAGTATTTTCGAGATTTATTGTCAATATCCCTTTTTCAACAGTCAAGTAGAGATAACACTAAATTTAGAATGCATGATCTGGTCCATGATCTAACCCAGTGGGTTTCTAAAAGGACATATTTAGAGTTGAAAGATGAATTGGGATCCAGGGAGCAATATATCAGAACGGCTCGCCATTCTTCTTACATGTCTAGTAATCATGATGGTAAGAAAAAATTTGAACTCCTCTGTGAAGCTAAGCGTCTAAGGACATTCTTGCCGCTGAAGCTATATGAAGATGGTACTCGTTACATAACTTCTATGGTTCTTTATGATTTGTTGCCAAAGTTAGAAAGCTTAAGGGTGCTATCTTTAGCAACATATTATATCATTAAGCTACCAGATTCAATCGGAGGCTTGATACATTTAAGGTACCTCAACCTTTCTCAAACCAAGATAAGAAGTTTACCAAAGTCAACAAGTTCGTTGTACAACTTACAGATTTTGTTATTGACAGATTGTTGTAATCTCACAGAGCTACCTGCCAAGATAAGGAATTTGATCAATCTACGTCATCTTGATATTGCTGGTGCAAATTCAATAACAGAGATGCCTTTGGGGATGAAAGAATTGACATGCCTCCAGACATTATCTAATTTTATAGTGGGGAAAGATACCGGATCTGATTTAGGTGATTTGAAGTGTCTGAAGGATCTGCGTGAAAAGCTCTGTATCTCAAAGCTGGACAATTCAAAGAATCCAAGAACATTCATACTAAGAGATAAGTGTTACCTAAAGGTGTTGGCGTTAGAATGGAGCTCTCAACTTGATCACTCACGAGATAATGCAGAACAAAAAAATGTACTAGAATGCCTAAAACCTCATGAAAATCTGAAAGAACTCACAATCAAATGTTATGCAGGTTCAGAATTTCCAAGTTGGGTTGGGAATCCATTATTCTCTAAATTGGTGGCCCTGAGGTTGGAAAGTTGTAAAAATTGCAGTTCTTTGCCTCCACTGGGGTTACTGACATCGCTCAAAGACCTCACCATAAAAAATATGACAGGAATAAAAAGAATTGGTTCTGAGATATATGGAGACGGTTGCTTTCAATCATTGGAGAATCTTTGTTTTCAGGATTTGGAAGAATGGGAGCGCTGGGATCCTATCCAAGAAAATGATAATGTTAGAAGATTCCCTCACCTTCGGAAGCTTTGCATTAAAAATTGCCCCAAACTCTCTGAAGCACCACTTGATTATCTTCAATCATTGGAGAAACTTGTGATTTTTGAATGTGTGCAATTGGCGGTTTGGTTCTCAAGACTTGCGACGCTCTGTGAACTAGAAATAGAAGGATGCAAAGAGATGGTGTGCAATAGTCTGACTGACTCCAAGTCACTAAAGTCTATGACTCTTTCAGATTTTTCTGACTTTGGAAATTGGTTAAGACAAGAGCCGTCTATCCTCACCTCCCTCCAGGTGCTATGCATTAAGAATTGCAATGCTCTAAATTCATCTTTACTTGCAGGTCTGAAAAATTTCTCTCTTCTTGAATGCCTGGAAATCAAAGGTTGTGATTCTCTGGAATCCATTTCCAGAGAGCAGTTGTCTTCATCACTGAAAAGGTTGTCAGTAATAAATTGTAAGCAATTGCAAAGTTTGTTGGATGGTGGAGACAATTCTTCTTCAGTGATCAATGAATCTCTTCTTGAATGCTTGTACATATCCGAATGCTCATCTCTCACATGCTTATTCTTAGAAGGCCCATTACTTGCAGCGCTCAAATTTCTTGAGATTCAGAAATGCTCACAGCTCACGGCATTACCATCAAGAGGTGAGTTACCTGCAGTAGTCAAACATCTTCAGATTTGGAAATGCTCAGAACTCACAACCTTATTGGTAAGAGACCACTTACCAGAGGCGCTTGAGTACCTTCGAATTACTAAGTGCCCCAAGCTTGAGTTAATAGCAACAAGGTTTCATAATAACATGCCTCTTCGTGTTATTAATATCTCAGATTGTGAAAAAATTGAATCCTTACCTGATGGTTTACACAATCTTAGCCTTCTTCAGTGGATTGATATAAATGACTGTCCAAGTCTCGTTTCCTTCCCAAGAGGAGGGCTTCCCAACTCCATTGTTAGCGTTTCAGTGGATAGATGTGAGAAACTTGAAGGCTTACCAACCAGAATGCAAACCCTCAACTGTCTTCAAGAATTAACCATTCGTAAATGTCCAAGAATCCCATCAATTTCTGCGGAAAGCTTTCCCTTCAACCTAACATCACTCTCTGTTGAAGATCTAACTATCTGTGAATTATCGCTTTTTGAATGGGGGTTGCACAGGTTCGAATGTCTTAAACATCTGTCTATTTTCGGATGCTTAGATGTAATCTCTTTTCCGCAGGACAAAATGCTGCCTACCTCTTTAACTAAGCTGGAGATTCGAAAATTCCTGAAATTGAAACGCTTATCTTCCTTGGGTTTTGACAACCTCACCTCACTTGAATATTTGTTGATAAGAGAATGCCCAATTCTCACTTCTCTTCCAGAGATGGGTCTCCCATCTGCACTTTTAAATTTGTATATTATTGATTGTCCTGTGCTGGAAAAAAAGTGCAAGAAGATGAAAGGAGAAGAGTGGTCCAAGATAGTTCACATTCCTTGTGTTGAGATAAATCACAAATTCATCCATGAAGAATAAGCTGTAGTGAACTCAAGAACAATGAAAGATAGTAGAATATCACATTTGCCACATACTATCTTTGTACTCTGAGGTTTGTCAATTTCTAACACCTGAACAATTTTTTACTTTCATAAGAAAAAATTTCAAACTTTATGTCAACAGTTTCAGGTTGGTAGTAGAATTAGCTTCTGAAAAGTGTTTAGTTCCTTCTTTTGGTATCTATTTTTCCTTCCTTTTGGTTTTGTGTTTGTTTTATCTTCATGTTCGTGTTTATTTTTTATTTTAATCAGTGGGATGCAAGTGGAGTACTTGAATTGGAATTTGGAGTACAGCTTCCGTTATTAAGACCTTTAGGCTTAAAGCTTTCTGGTATAATAGTGTGCGCAAGCTTGAAGTTATATGATTGATACTATGGTTGGCACTTGGCAGATATGGGTTTCAGTCAGATGATCAGTTTATTTGCATTGACGAGGTAGACCAAAAGCACAGTGATTGTAGAGGCATAAATTTTTTCCACAAATCTCTTGCATCTTCTGATGCCTTCTACCCCATCTATATATAAATATTTTCAATTCATTCCTATATGTGATTGCAAGATGTTACGAACAATCCAAATATATTTAGCATAGGCAAAGTAATGGTTTTAGATTTAAAGCCTTGAATCTTTTGGTTTTACAAGGTTATGGTTAAATGACAGTATTTATGCTTCTACTTACAGTTGTTTAATAGCACTAATTTGTTTGTGTACAATGCATTTGTGAAAATCTTATGACATCTTTTTGCAGATTACCAAAGGAATCAAGTCTTTTCAGTGTCAGGCAATTGCATCAATCTGTTACCCTGATATAGTTTTATGAATGTCTGTTTTTTCCTGCTGCCTTTCTTCCCCATCTTCGTGCAAGTATATTCAACTCATTTCTATATCTGATGTTAAGNTCAATTTCTAACACCTGAACAATTTTTTACTTTCATGAGAAAAAATTTCAAACTTTATGTCAACAGTTTCAGGTTGGTAGTAGAATTAGCTTCTGAAAAGTGTTTACTTCCTTCTTTTGGTATCTATTTTTCCTTCCTTTTGGTTTTGTGTTTGTTTTATGTTCATGTTCATATTAATTTTTTTATTTTAATCAGTGGGATGCAAGTGGAGTACTTGAGTTGGAATTTGGAGTACAGCTTCCGTTATTAAGACCTTTAGGCTTAAAGCTTTCTGGTATAATAGTGTGCGCAAGCTTGAAGTTATATGATTGATACTATGGTTGGCACTTGGCAGATATGGGTTTCAGTCAGATGATCAGTTTATTTGCATTGACGAGGTAGACCAAAAGCACAGTGATTGTAGAGGCATAAATTTTTTCCACAAATCTCTTGCATCTTCTGATGCCTTCTACCCCATCTATATATAAATATTTTCAATTCATTCCTATATGTGATTGCAAGATGTTACGAACAATCCAACTATATTTAGCATAGGCAAAGTAATGGTTTTAGATTTAAAGCCTTGAATCTTTTGGTTTTAGAAGGTTATGGTTAAATGACAGTATTTATGCTTTTACTTACAGTTGTTTAATAGCACTAATTTGTTTGTGTACAATGCATTTGTGAAAATCTTATGACATCTTTTTGCAGATTACCAAAGGAATCAAGTCTTTTCAGTGTCAGGCAATTGCATCAATCTGTTACCCTGATATAGTTTTATGAATGTCTGTTTTTTCCTGCTGCCTTTCTTCCCCATCTTCGTGCAAGTATATTCAACTCATTTCTATATCTGATGTTAAGATAAATAGTCCAACAGTATTTAGCTGAGTATACATCTTCCCAAGATGCATCTTCCTCTGCGGAACTTCAAAAAGGTTCTTTTGGAACTCCAGTAGGCATAAAATGAAAGAAAAATAGTTGCATTTATCATGTCTTTTTGTTTTTATATAAATGCGATCCACTGCATGGCATTTTCATTAATCTGATACCCTAGCACTCAATTTTATAAGATTTCGCGTTTAGAGCAGCTCTAATTAGCAGGATGATAACAGCTAAATTTTAAACCACAGACCATGGTTGTGTTAATATTATTATTGTCTGTTCATCAAGATGAAACTGTGGAAATCCTGTATTGAGATAGAGACTCCAAGAACAGGAAATGAATCCTGTGCGAATTTTAATTTTATACACAGTTTTGAAAATAATTGGGAATCAATGTCATCCTTTTGTATATCTGGCTTCTTTTTTTGGGTAAAATATATGCTTACTAAATTTGTCACTCCCTTTGTTTGGAATGAAATATCTAGTATAGAAACCGCTACAAGTGCTAACGCTGCTGAATGTTACATTCCCTGATCCTGAAGAAGATTCTCATATGTCTGGTTCAGGTTCACCCTTCCACAACAGGATAGGTGTTGAGCCTTCAGCTCAATAAGAACAACCATACCTGCAGAGTGTGGTCGTGTCTGTGATTAAGCTGGAGAGGGTGGCATAGTTTTATTATTGAGTCTGTTAAAATCTGGTTAATTAGTTAAATAACAGACCATTAGTGAAACGGTGGGTTTTGTACCTTGAGGAAAGTTCACTGTTTTTAAGTCACTTAAGTTCAGTGCTGTTTAGCTTCTAAATTCTTGTATATAAGACAGCTGTTGTACTCATTTGTGATGTAATTTTGTTGTCCTAGTTACCTTTTTCTTCTTTCTCTAAAATCATTTCAATACGCATGAAAGAGCAAAGATTAGCTAGGAGGCTTCCTTATCACAGAAACGCTGTTTCAGATAACTCTCCAACCGCTATTGAGNTCTGTTCATCAAGATGAAACTGTGGAAATCCTGTATTGAGACAGAGACTCCAAGAACAGGAAATGAATCCTGTGCGAATTTTAATTTTATACACAGTTTTGAAAATAATTGGGAGTCAATGTCATCCTTTTGTATCTCTGGCTTCTATTTTCGGGTAAAATATATGACTAAATTTGTCACTCCCTTTGTTTGGAATGAAATATCTAGTATAGAAACCGCTACAAGTGCTAACGCTGCTGAATGTTACATTCCCTGATCCTGAAGAAGATTCTCATATGTCTGGTTCAGGTTCACCCTTCCACAACAGGATAGGTGTTGAGCCTTCAGCTCAATAAGAACAACCATACCTGCAGAGTGTGGTCGTGTGTGTGATTAAGCTGGAGAGGGTGGTATAGTTTTATTATTGAGTCTGTTAAAATCTGGTTAATTAGTTAAATAACAGACCATTAGTGAAACGGTGGGTTTTGTACCTTGAGCAAAGTTCACTGTTTTTAAGTCACTTAAGTTCAGTGTTGTTTAGCTTCTAAATTCTTGTATATAAGACAGCTGTTGTCCTGGTTACCTTTTTCTTCTTTCTCTAAAATCATTTCAATAGGCATGAAAGAGCAAAGATAAGCTAGGAGGCTTCCTTATCACAGAAAGGTTGTTTCAGATAACTCTCCAACCGCTATTGAGGAGAGAGTCTTCCATGCAACGAATGTATGGTACTATTAACCAATCATGAGGTAAGTGCATGTCACATTTGCTGATGTGGTGTTGTATGATTGGTTGATTGTGTATACATATGTTACAGAATAGTTTTTTTTTTTTTTCTTGCCCTTATTATTCGGACACAACACTGTACATGTTCGTATTACTTTTGTCTCTGTAAAGAGTGTTTTCCCTCTATTTGGCTGAGGTTTAACATGGAGGACTTGAGCGTTTGTGCCGTCATGTTGGGTGAGACTGTCCCATTTAGTTTTTTCGGTATTTCATTATCAAATGGAAGAACAAAATTATAATATAAACAAATATCCTTTTCACATTTCTCAATAAATCGGGGTCTATAACAAAGTCTATTAATTATTGTAACTCAATCCAATCGAGAGAGCCAGCGATAAATCGAGGGAGAGGCAATACAATGCTATATATGACTCATCCATGGTCCTCCATCAGGGACATTTCACTTTTCCCTTCTTGACATTACATGTTAAATTACAAATCAGAAGTTGACGGAAGAAAGATGGTGTGCGGCAGTGAAATTTGACTTTTGACAGTTGACAAATATTTTGGGAGTTGGGTAATTGATGAAGGTAAGGATATCTTTATCTAAACTCTTTGATCTTCTTCTTTTCATGCCAATTATTATATGTTCTTGCTTCTTGAACTAAGTATTGCTTTTTTAAGTAGGCCAATCTTATCGATGATCCAGAGGGCTGAAGAATAGAGATAATTGAGACCTAGAGCGGAACAGAGTGTTTGAACTAATGAGCATTTTGCTTTTGAGATAGCATACAACCAGGTGGGCAATGATACTGAATCAAAAGGCGGTACCGAATCGATCAATTCAGATATTCAGACTGTAACTATGTCGCCCCTAGCAAGATAGTACTTTCTCTATACATGCATGCTTTGGTAAGCATGCATATACATTTTTGTTCACCAGGTTTAGACCTTCTTCATCTTGAGCTGTTTACTTTACCAATGGCATTGTTCCGAGACTATCTTATTGGAAATTGTTTTATGAGTGAAAACACAAGAAAGGTGAGTTTGTGTACAAAACAGAACTGAAACTCTGCAGAAATCAGAGGAAGCAAAAGACGAGTCTAGAGTCTATTTATTTATTATTATTATTATTATTATTTTTTTGTATTTTCCAACACCACAAATAATTTAGCATAAATATAATTGCATCCAATGAGTTCCTTTATTCTCATATTCAGTTGAATTCAAACTATTAAACAACTGGAGCTGAGACTAATAAAATACAAACAAAACAGAGTCGAACAGAGTACTATGTAATTACATCGATATTTCTTGTGTTACAAGACATTAGCATTATCTAATCCTTGACCGGCAGCTGCAGCGCCTCATGAATCACTTTTTCTTTTCCATTTAAACCAAAAGGGCAAAAAATGAGTGGTTCTGGGCCGCTCTCAGAAGAGTCAACACGGTATTTTTTCAAACCGATATTTCCACCTCTCTTATTAAACTCTCAATTATTTCTCTTAATTCTCTCATCAACATTTTAACAACTCTCTCTCAAACTCTACTCTTGTTTTCTCAGTGTTAAGGTAAGCACAGTACTGGAAATTTACTTCTTTTTCGTTCCCAACCTCTCACCGTATTGCGACGCAGAGGTAACGGATGTAAGATGCATTGCGGAGAAGAATTTGACTTCACAGGCTGCTTTAAACGAATGCGGTAAGGTTGTCATTTCTGGAACTACTTATGTTTTTAATTTTCATCTCAATATCTCTCTTTCTTACTAAATACATTTTATCTCCTCAGCTATTTGAAATAACTTGCCTCAAAGCAGAGGCCATGAATGCACTATGCTGTCCTATACCTATGGATAGCCCTTTGACGATTATCTACTGTCTCCTTTTTTTTCTTTTTTCTTTTTTTCTTTTTTTGAATAATGTAAAGACTCTGTTTTCCTTTTTCATTTCCATCTATGCATTCACTTTTACTGGATAGCCCTGGACGATTATATGTTTGCTTGTTTTGTTACTGGATTAAATGTGATTGGTTTTTTAATTTTATGATGATATTATATAGTCTTTCTTAAGGGTTTTTTTTAATTTTAATTTATCAGATTCTATAGTTCTCTCCCTGGAAATACTGATTAAGTTGAATGAATATAACTATTTTTGTATCAGAAATTTGACAGCCGAATATAATAAAAATGGGAGGGCACTTCTAACTTGTATTCCTATCAAGTTTATTCATCCATCCGTTAGAAGGAGGTTTAGTGCATATTGATCGAACAAAATCAAATCATACACCTAATTAATTTTACTAGTATCTATTGCAAGCATACCATGAAGCTTAGTTGTGAGGATCTTATTACGGAATCCAATTCAGATTAAAAACATTCTATGATTTGGTATTATCCCTCTTATGATTTGGTATTATTCATATTTAATGAGTATTAAAAACATCTTATTTTGGTATTATTCATATTTAATTTGCTTGTCCTTTCCTTGTTGTTTAGGCTTCTTGTGCTTATTATCCATCTTTTTAAACCATCCACGGTTAAGAAAGAATTCCTTTATATTCTCCACTGCACCAATCACTTTTTCTTTTCCTTTTTCAAAAGTGCAACAGGATTTTTTTCCTTGGATATCTCCACCTCTCTAATCAAACTCTCATTTTTTCTTATTCTCTCTCTCTATCACGCTCTACCATCTCCTCTAAACAACCTGTGTTCTCAGTGTTAAGTGTAACATAATATAGGAAAATTAGGGTGCGTTTGGCATATATTCTATCCATATTCTAATTCTATTCCCAAATACGTTGGCACATTATTGAGAAATATCAGATATTTTTTTATTATTTTTAGACCAACTTGTTTATTAATTCATTAATTGCCCATAGAAAAAAAGTTTAAAAAGTATAAAAACACCTCCACCCACCCATGCTCGCCAGATTCCGGCAACCACCGTCGGTGATATCATAATCGTCACAACCGCCTACACCATGACTGAACTGGTTGGTAATTCACCGATCTGCCTTCAGAGACGGCCAAATCTTGCCTATCGTTGACCGACAACTGACGGCCAGATCTAGACTTTTGCGGCCATCGCCGGCCAGTCTGGTCATAGATCTGACCTTTTTCGGCCAGATCTGTGGTGGATCTGGTGGAAAGGCCATATTGATGCCCTACCCGTCAAATTCGCCCGTCATGTCGTAATGCCATTGCTAGCTAGATCCCGAGCATGGCCGGAATCTGGCACTGGATCCGGTAGTGGGGTGTTTTTGTCATTTTATAAAATTTTTATATATTGGGGTGTTTAGTTAAATTAGCAAACCTGGGTTTTTTAAAATTTTAAATTTTACCTCGTAATACTCCCAATTCAACTACCCATATTATTCCCAAATCCTATCAATTTTTAAATCTGTTTTTGAATTTTATTTTCATATTTACATTTTGATCTATCTTCTTACCATTTTGTTCATTTACGTTAATTATTGCAGAACCTATAGGCACAATCAATATATTGTTTTAACTTTTTAAACTGGGCTTAAAGCATCTTTAAAGGATTCTCTATCACCTAAACTCTTTATTATAATAAGTTTATCCATAGAAACAAGAGTCCAATATACTTTTTATTCTTTAAATATAAATTAAAAAGTAAGTTTGACTCCCCACATTTAGAGTATCTCCAATGGTGCTTTTGTTTTGAAGAGCATCTTTCATATAATAAGAGCATCTTCATTAATTTTAAAATATAAAGAACACAATTTGTATTCAAATCCAATATACTCTTTAAATTTAATGGAGATCTCTTTTTTAGAAGAGACTTAATGGAAGAGAGAATTAATAAATAATCATAGGAACTTGTAATTTTTATTATAGGATAGAGAGTGAAATTTGCTCTCTAAATGTGGAGAGCCAAATACTTAATTTATTATAATATATAAAGATCTATATTGTAGTATGAAAGATGTCGTTGACTCTTGTTTTTATAGGATAAAATCTTTATAATAAGAGTTTGAGATTAATTATGTAGTATTGGAGTGATCATGGCTCTTATTTTGAAAAGCATATTTCATATAATAAAGAGCATCTTCATTAATTTTAATAAGATAAAACCATTTTTATTCAATCCAATAGACTCTTTAAATTTAATGAAGATACTCTTTATTTTAAAAAAGAGATTGATGGGAGAGAGAATTATAAAACTTGTAGTTTATTAATTAAATTAAGATAGAGAGTGAAATTTGACTCTCTAAATGTGGAGTCAAACTCACTCTCTAATTTATATTTTAAAGATAAAGAGTATGTTGGACTCTGTTTTTATAGATAAACTCTTTATAATAAAGAGTTTGGTTTATAAAAAATCCTTTGAAGATGCTCTTGAGAGTCAATTTCACTACTATCTTAATTTTAAATAATAAAGCATTTTTTATAATTTTATTATTATATTTATCTCTCTATTATAGTTTCTTTCTTGAAAAAACATATTCTCTCTCGTAAAATTTAAAGAGTCTCTTAGATTTGAATAAAAATTTTGTTCTTTATATTTAAAAATAAAAAACGGTCCGTTTGTTTTGTTATTTCGGATAGGATTTCTGAAATAGTATTAGGGATTGGATTGGTTATTATGACGTAATTTGATTATAATATAGTTATTGATATTTTGACCTTGTTATTTGTGCTAAATAAATTGTTGAATCTTATTGATGTATTTTTTATAAATATTTATTATATTTTTAGTGCATTTTGTTAATAATAATTATATTATTATAATACTAAAAAAACTAAACTTGTCATTTACTTTTATAATATTAAACATTTGATTGGTAATTTCTAACCACTAAATATTTTTTTTTTTAAAAAAACTCATATTAATTTTAAGTATAATCCAACTATTAAAAACACCACATTAATACATATATTAAAGCTACTAATTATCAACCTTCAGAATCATTTGTACACATATACTTCATAACAACTACGACCTGGTCATATGTGCTGTCTACAAGTTTGTTATGTTATCCTACAGTCGTCATATGTCTATATGTGAAAGAAGCAGGAGCTATACGCTAGAATAATTCAGATCGGCTTGACTGAGTTCGCTAGAGGTTGAATGCAGGTGGAAGAGAAGTTGCGGCGGTGGTGTGTGTTTGGAAGAAGAGGACTGAAGAAATAAAGAAAGCGAAAGAAATAAAAAAGAAGAAGGGCGATGGCAAGTGGAAGAGAGACTTGTCACGGTGGGTTAAGGGAAATGAGAAAGAAGTGAAAAAAAAAAAAAAAAAATTGCAGATGAAACCCCACCAACATGACGGTCAAATATGCCAAGAGTAGTATTTATTGAATACAACTTTTAAGTAAAAAAAAACACAATATTTCAAAAATTGTTCAATATATAAAATAGTAACCCAAACACACTTAAAGATGCTCTTATTTATGAAATATGCTTTTAAAATAAAGAAACCATGATATATCTTATGTTTATAATCAATTTGTTATGATTAGGTAATATTTAACTAAAGTATTAAAAAAATAAAAATAAAAAGATATGAAAAAATGTTAAATAAATGGGGTATCCTACATTCTCTTCAAAATTCTGGTCCAACACTCCTTTCCGAAACTCTTGATTGCTCGGAGGAAGTAATCACGTTTCTCCTACAACTCTCTCAATCTCTCTAGCTACTCTCAATTACTTCTCATATTCTTCGGGGCTCTTACCGACTACCTCAATTTCCAATACTCTTCTTTTCTCATGTCAAGTAAGCAGAATACTGCAAGTTGAATTAGCATTTTTTTTTTTTTTTTTAATATTTGATCATCATCAACATATTATTTCATATTTCATTTGAAGTAATACTAGCCTTACAAAGAGCATACAAAGAACCATACAAATAGTTAAATCCAGCCTTTGAAATTCATGATTGTCTCTTTCTCTCTCTCTTTCTTTTCCCCTTCTTTCAAGGGTTGGTTTGACTCTTTGTATGCCTCTTTGTAAGGCTAGTATTACTCTTACATTGATGAATTTTATCAGCATCTTAATGCGTTTTATAATTTAATGCGTTCTATTATATAGATCTTGTGGGGGGATGATTTTCGCAAAATTAGATGGGTTTTTATTATAATTAAATTAAACAGATTGTATTATTCATGAATAATTAGTTGAA